CCCTGCTCAAAAGATTGTCCCCATAGAGTCACTATGGTTGGAAAGGACCTCCAGGATCATCAGGTCCAACCTTCATCCCAACATCTCCTTAACCCCTAGACCACAGCCTCGAGTGCTGCATCTACTCTTTTTTTTGAATCTTTCTTACAGGCTCCATGATGCTCAGAGGCTAGTCTGGAAAATCATACTAAGAAAGAAATACTGCTGTAATTTATTTATCTCCACACATATACTTGTTCTGACCAGCCCAAACAGAAGCCAAAGCACCCACAGACCCCAAGATCCCACTGCACCCAGGAGTGTCCTGGCACCAGCACCCACTGCTCGGGCAGGGTGGCCAAGCCCAGCACCCCTGCCATGCCCACAGGGACCAGAATGTGCCCATGGGTGGGGTCTGAGCCAGCCCAGCACCCCTGCTATGCCCACAGGGACCAGAACGTGCCCATGGGCAGGGTCTGAGCCAGCCCAGCACCCCTGCTATGCCCACAGGGACCAGAACGTGCCCATGGGCAGGGTCTGAGCCAGCCCAGCACCCCTGCTATGCCCACAGGGACCAGAACGTGCCCATGGGCAGGGTCTGAGCCAGCCCAGCACCCCTGCTATGCCCACAGGGACCAGAACGTGCCCATGGGCAGGGTCTGAGCCAGCCCAGCACCCCTGCTATGCCCACAGGGACCAGAACGTGCCCATGGGCAGGGTCTGAGCCAGCCCAGCACCCCTGCTATGCCCACAGGGACCAGAACGTGCCCATGGGCAGGGTCTGAGCCAGCCCAGCACCCCTGCTATGCCCACAGGGACCAGAACGTGCCCATGGGCAGGGTCTGAGCCAGCCCAGCACCCCTGCTATGCCCACAGGGACCAGAACGTGCCCATGGGCAGGGTCTGAGCCAGCCCAGCACCCCTGCTATGCCCACAGGGACCAGAACGTGCCCATGGGCAGGGTCTGAGCCAGCCCAGCACCCCTGCTATGCCCACAGGGACCAGAACGTGCCCATGGGTGGGGTCTGAGCCAGCCCAGCACCCCTGCTATGCCCACAGGGACCAGAACGTGCCCATGGGTGGGGTCTGAGCCAGCCCAGCAGCACCAGCACCACAGTGGGGGGCACTGGGAAGGGCAGTGCTGCTCCCTCCACCACACACGATCAGATCAGCCACGTCCTGCCCCTCAGCAGCCTCCCCGGGGTTCTGCTTGTGCAAAGCTCTGCTGCAGAACGTGCAGCTCTGACTGAAGGAGGAAAAACAGAAGCTGTTAACCATAAACCGTTGCCACATTTCCTGCTGTACCCCGACAGGATGAAACAAGCTGCTAACAAAACAAGAGCTCAGTAACTCTGCCTGTGCCTGCACCGTGCTGGACCTGCAGCTCTCCTGGCTGGGAATTGGGAGAGAGGGACATTGCCACCGTGGGGAAGGGCCTGGCTGTGTGGCAGCACACCACATCCCTGTGCCAGCCTGGAAGCCCAGCAGGTTCCCATCACCTCCACCGTGCCATCCTCTCATGCACCTGGAAGGAGAGTGATGGCAGGACTGGAGCTGCCAGGACACTTCCACCCCTGCCCTGGTAAAAATCTGGTGCAGAACGTTGCACAGCCACAGTACCAGAGGTTGGGCACCACTGCCAGCGTGTGGGCACCACTTCAGCCTGGCAGATGAGGGGTTTGCCACCACCTTTGGAACTGCTGTAACACGGGCAGGCAGCTGGAGAGTGAAACAATCACAGACTGGTTGGGTTGGAGGGGTATTTACAGCTCAGCGAGCCCAACCCCCTGCAGGGAGCAGGGACATCCCCAACCAGAGC